CGCTCCTCAGCCGCAGTGTTGCCACTCCGCAGTGTTACCGCTCCTCATCCGCAGTGTTGGCATTGCTGCCCATCCGCAGTGTTGGCATTGCTGCCCATCCGCAGTGTTGGCATTGCTGCCCATCCGCAGTGTTGGCATTGCTGCCCATCCGCAGTGTTGGCATTGCTCCCCATCCGCAGTGTTGGCATTGCTGCCCATCCGCAGTGTTCGCCTTCCGCCCCTGTTGGCATTGCTGCCCATCCGCAGTGTTGGCATTGCTGCCCATCCGCAGTGTTGGCATTGCTGCCCATCCGCAGTGTTGGCATTGCTGCCCATCCGCAGTGTTGGCATTGCTGCCCATCCGCAGTGTTGGCATTGCTGCCCATCCGCAGTGTTGGCATTGCTGCCCATCCGCAGTGTTGGCATTGCTGCCCATCCGCAGTGTTGGCATTGCTGCCCATCCGCAGTGTTGGCATTGCTGCCCATCCGCAGTGTTGGCATTGCTGCCCATCCGCAGTGTTGGCATTGCTGCCCATCCGCAGTGTTGGCATTGCTGCCCATCCGCAGTGTTGGCATTGCTGCCCATCCGCAGTGTTGGCATTGCTGCCCATCCGCAGTGTTGGCATTGCTGCCCATCCGCAGTGTTGGCATTGCTGCCCATCCGCAGTGTTGGCATTGCTGCCCATCCGCAGTGTTGGCATTGCTGCCCATCCGCAGTGTTGGCATTGCTGCCCATCCGCAGTGTTGGCATTGCTGCCCATCCGCAGTGTTGGCATTGCTGCCCATCCGCAGTGTTGGCATTGCTGCCCATCCGCAGTGTTGGCATTGCTGCCCATCCGCAGTGTTGGCATTGCTGCCCATCCGCAGTGTTGGCATTGCTGCCCATCCGCAGTGTTGGCATTGCTGCCCATCCGCAGTGTTGGCATTGCTGCCCATCCGCAGTGTTGGCATTGCTGCCCATCCGCAGTGTTGGCATTGCTGCCCATCCGCAGTGTTGGCATTGCTGCCCATCCGCAGTGTTGGCATTGCTGCCCATCCGCAGTGTTGGCATTGCTGCCCATCCGCAGTGTTAGCATTGCTCCCCATCCGCTGTGTTAGCATTGCTGCCCATCCGCAGTGTTAGCATTGCTGCCCATCCGCAGTGTTGCCGCTCTGCAGTGTTAGCATTGCTCCCCATCCGCAGTGTTAGCATTGCTCCCCATCCGCAATGTTAGCATTGCTCCCCATCCGCAGTGTTGTCGCTCCACAGTGTTAGCATTGCTCTCCATCCGCAGTGTTGCCGCTCCACAGTGTTAGCATTACTCTCCATCCGCAGTGTTGCCGCTCCGCAGTGTTAGCATTGCTCCCCATCTGCAGTGTTGCCGCTCTGCAGTGTTAGCATTGCTCCCCATTCACAGTGTTAGCATTGCTCCCCATCCGCAGTGTTGCCGCTCTGCAGTGTTAGCATTGCTCTCCATCCGCAGTGTTGTTGCTCTACAGTGTTAGCATTGCTCTCCATCCGCAGTGTTGCTGCTCCGCAGTGTTAGCATTGCTCTCCCTCCGCAGTGTTAGCATTGCTCCCCATCCGCAGTGTTAGCATTGCTCTCCATCCGCAGTGTTGCCGCTCCGCAGTGTTAGCATTGCTCTCCATCTGCAGTGTTAGCATTGCTCTTCATCCGCAGTGTTGCCGCTCCGCAGTGTTAGCATTGCTCTCCATCCGCAGTGTTGCCGCTCTGCAGTGTTAGCATTGCTCCCCCTCTGCAGGGTTAGCATTGCTCCCCATCCACAGGGTTAGCATTGCTGCCGGACAGTGCTGTATACATTACTGTGGCCAGGATGCCTTGTCAAAAATTATACAGCACGTGGCATTTGGCAGGCAGTGCCGCCTGCCAAATGCGACTATAGAGGTGAATGGAACTTGTAGAAGTTCAGTGAAAAATCCCTCTTGGGATCCAAACAAAAAATACAAATAATTGGCATTCAGAAGGGGCAGTATCTCTTCCTAAATACCAGACAGCTGATGCTCTACTGCCCTGTGAAAAGCGATCTATTGGGGTTCCTTTTTCTGAGGGCGTGGAGCCTGCCATTTTATTTTTAAATTACCATTTTAAATGTGCCGTGTTTACTGAATTCTGGAAATAATCTATGAACACTATTAAAATACATGTGTCTTGTTCCTGTGTATTTTAATATGTGATAACTGAGCGTTGTTGTGGCAGCTTGTCCATTCTGATTCAGTTAATACATTTGGTTAATGATAGCCTAAGTGCAAAGTTTGGTGCCGGCTTTATGTATTGACATTGTGTTACAAACTTTAGCTTGGGGGTGATGATAGTGGTGCGACCCTTTCTGCTATCGTCCAATAGGTTTTCAGACGAATGCAAATATTTGCATGTTTCTCAGAAAAAATCACTGAAATGCCAAAGACTAAAGTGCACTGATACCAAACATCAGGGTTACTATGTAGGCGGCAAAATATGTGTGCTTTTTTTTTTTTTTTAGAATCTTTGTACTAGAGGACTTTCAAACTAAACTTTAAAAAGTTCAGATCGTAGCAAGATTTGCTGCAATGTATACGTAAAGCATTTGTGGAGCATATTTGAGTAATTCCAAATTGCTGACCTTTGAAGCATTGGCACATCGGCTGCTATGCCCCAAGGCCTAAGTAATCCTAGCACTGTGATTTTATCCTACACCCCCGCAGGGCACCCTGGGCCTGATTTGCTAAAACCATATACAAATGGTGACCTCGCAGTATTTTGACTATACCACCACAAAGGCATATAGTGAGTTTACGAAGATTATTTTGCTACAGAGTATATGCCCCAGTGTCCAAACAGACACTAGCTAAGTGGTGGCATCACTAAAATATAAAATGTGATTTTGTTCTCAGTTTTTGGGTCCGTCTGATCGTTGTCAGGGATTTTATTTGAGCATCTTTTATAGCAAAAACACTTGTAGTCTGCACTGACGTCAATAATTGTTATCCCAGGGTAAATGAGATGCCTGATGTGGCCACAGCCAGTGCATGTACATGACTTTGTGCATATCTGCTTGTTATGGAGGCTCCATTGATAACCGGCAATACACATGTTGTCTATTATGCTCCAGCACTACATTTTGTTTTTTTCTGCTTTGCTTGGTACATTTTATTTAAAAGAGAACTAAGGGGTAAGTGTTTTTCCCCATAGTTCTCTCTAGGGTCACAGGAGGTCATATACTAACCTCCTCCGGTGACCCAAAGCTCAGTATATCGCGGGCTATTGCCCGCGATATTCTGAGAGCGCCACAGCTCTCTGTCAAGATCTCTGTCAAGATCCACCCAGCTGCGTGAGTGACAGAGGCAGAGCCAGCTGTGCCCGCCCCCTCCCCCGTTTGTACCTCCACTCAGCACTGGAGGATTGGGGGGGGGGGATCCCTGCGGGGAGTGGTGACTGACAGTCACTTCTGCTCACTTCCCCAAAACTTCAGTAAAAAAATACACTTGAGTTCATTTTTGGTGCACACAAACACAATATAATGCTCTTTTTTTTGTCATAAACTATAAAAGATGAGGTTGTGCAGAGTAAATAGATACCCAGCATGCCAAGCTTGAAAATTGTGTGCACCCATGAAATGACAAAAAAAAAAATACGGCGGTGGCGTCACAAGGGCGGTGTGACCCGCACCCAGGTGACACCATTGGAGGGGTGACACTAGAATGACTGACAGTCATTTTGGTGTCGCCCCCTCTGAAAAGTCGGGCACTCGGTCATGGAACGAGAGCCCGACAGTGTCAGGAGAGAGGAGGGGACCCGGCGGCATACCTCATCCCACCAGGTGAACGTCCCCTCCTCTCTCTCCCGGCGTCCATCAATCAGATGGCCGCCGGCAGGCGTCAATGGGATGACTGCGCGATGGCGTCATGGCGGGGTGTCACCCGATCTCAGGATGCCCCTGAAATATAGTACCCTAAATTGTCCATAGGTGTCAAGCCTTGTACAGGTCATAATTTTAGTGTTAACTGTGAATATTGTCCGTAGAATTATTACTCACTCTAGCACACGCAGTGATATGTAACGTGTGGCGCAATCGTCATTTATATATGTATGTGTATGTGGGGTATTTTTAAATTTATTTAAAGGAGAACTATGGGGTCAGTGTTTTTCCCCATAGTTCTCAGGGTAACGGGAGGACACAAACTAGCATCCTCCCGTCACCCTAAGCTCAGTATACCGCAAGCTACAGCCGCAGCTGAGACGCAGCCGCAGCCGGAGCGGATCCCGACATCGATGTCGAGATCCGCCCAGCTGCGTGAGTGACAGCTGGCTCTGCCTATCTAGAGGCAGAGCCAGCTGTACCCGCCCCCTCCCCTGTCTGTTCCGCCAGTCAGCGCTGGCAGATCGGAGCGGGGAGAGGGGAATCCAGCCCCTCCCCCTGTCACGGCAGAGAGCCGTGACAGGACCGAGAGGTGAGCGAACCCGGTAGTGTGTTCGCTCACCTCCTGATCTACTGAGCCGACCTGTGATAGTCTCATTGTCACAGGTCGACTAGAACTATGAGGTGAGTGGAAATCACTCATCTCAAAGTTCTCCTTTAACTTTATTTTTATTTATTACCTCAAAGGCCACCACTTAAAATTGGTGGAGAAAAGATTTAACCACACAGGGCGTAGGGCCACCTTCTCAGCCAAAGTGGTTAAATTTTGGAACTCTCTGTCACAGGCAGCAGAGAGTATTGAATCATTTAAAAATCAATTAGATACCTTCCTCAGAAACCGTAACGTACAGGGACTCTTAAAACCTAGACGACACAGGGACTCCTATACAGACATACATGCACTACACACACATTTACACATAAAGGTTGAACTCGATGGACCTGTGTCTCTATTCAACCTCCAATAATATGTAACGAATATGTAATTGTAATATTATACTAATATGTAATTGCTATTACATAGGGGGTTCATGAGCCCCATATATGATTGCACATTGGAGGTGACAGGTACTCTATTTAAGGTGTCCAAGATGGCCGCCGGCAGGCATCAATCAGATGTCGCGATGACGACACTGCGGAGTGACACCCGGCCTCAGGACGCCCCTGATCCATGGTGAACCTAGGACAGGAAATGTAGGTACTGCAGTACCTCCCTCTCCTCTTTCATACCATGGGGGAATGAGCTGGGAACAATGCTAACTGATGAGAGTGCAGCACACGCAGGAAGGGAAGATATAATCCAAGTTGGAGTTTACATACACTTTAATCAAACATTGCCTCCCGTCACAACAAACCTAGTTATATGTCATGAAAGTCATGGGGATTAAGCAACATAATGCACCGAGAAAAGAAAAAAGAACATTGGTTATTGAATGTCAATGTTCTTGTCTTTCCTCATGGCTTGTGTGCCAGAACAATGTGTGCCAGAACAATCTAATCTACAGAATGGGTGACACCCTAAATATTAACAACGAATCATAGCTTTGTGACATGTAGGATTTAATATGGCGTTGTAAAGGGCAATTGTTTGCACTTTCCCGTATGAAGCAGATTGCAGCTTTTAGGAGTTTAGTGTAGTTGGATCAGTTACTGATCAGTTACTGACCTTTTGCAAAGTGCTGTTTGATTTATTAAAGAACCTGATCTAAATTGAAAAGTTGGATTGAAAGGTAGATGGAAGAGCAGCTAATGTGCAGATTGGAAGCACTTTACATCAGATACCTTTTACAAAATGAACAATGCTAACAAAGATAGAATTGCAAAACGTGTAAGCACAGCGTGTTCACCCGTCTTCCCTTCTGGTAGATTTTCCTTGCCAGCAGAAATCTCAAGCATTAGTTGCTATACAGTTTAGCAACTGTATGGAAAGTGGTCATTGGACAGTACATTCAAGGGAATCTATAATGATCAGTTTTAATTTAACTTTTCTTTTATATGTAAAAAATGATTTTGTTTTTGCTTAATTTATACCGATCACATTAATAACATCTATTTATATAAGCATTTAAAGCAAAACAAAACTCCCCTGCTAGTGCCCAGGGCTTTTGGGCAATTAAACGGCCGGACAGCGGCTTCTTGAATGCGGGTGGGCGTTTTTAAACGTCCCATCCCGCCGTGCCCGCCGCTAGTAATCATTAGTAGTAATGTGTATTACATCACTTCCGCATTCCTCTGTTACTCTCCGGTACAGAAACCGGAGAGAAGCTGGTGAAGAAGGGTCTCTGCTTCATTATGCTTCTCTGGGGGTCCATAGGTGACATTAGGGGTCTTAAAGACCCCTGATGTCTCCATAAAGAGGACCTGTCACTGCAAATTGGCTATCACATAGAGAGCTTGTTTTTTTTTTGTAAAAAAAAATCACAAATTAAAAGTCACATATCAAAGCAATAAAAAAAATGTAAGTCCCCCACATGCACACGCAAACATGCATCGAGTCCGCCTACGTGCGAAAACGACGATTACATCTATTGCACCGCACATGTTACATATCGCCGCGAACATTGGAGTGAGAGCAATAATTATAGGGCCATCAATCGCTGATAACACTGAACTGATGAGTGGTAAAAGCTTTTAAAGCGTCGGCTATGGTCAATTTTTAGTATGGTAGCTTTTTTGGGATTTAGCGGGTGCGCGCAATTTTAAAGCTTGGCATGTTTGGTGTCTATTTACCCGACGTGACCCCGTCTTTTATATTTTACCAAAAAATTTGGTAATAATAAATGTTTTATAACATAACGTGGGGAGAACAGGTTTTTTTTTCAAAATTTTCGATACTTTTTTCATTATATAGTTAAAAAAAAACAGAGCAAAAGAAAGCTCTATCTGTCCCCAAAAAATGGTATAAAATTTCAGTACAGCGTTGCATGACGGAATAAATGTCAGTCAAAGTACTGCAGCGCTGAATACTGAAAAATGGCCTGGACAGGAAGGGGGTATAAACACCCCGGTCAGCAAGTGGTTAAAGATACATACCCGATTCGTTTTATCACCTGGTATGTATCTTTAGTCTGTGTGGCATGGGAGACAGCTTCTAATATACCATTGAATATGTGTACACTATATTGAATCTTGGACCACTGAGTCATATATTTCTACCACTGTTTTTCAACCCAGTCCTAAAGAAGCCAGATCCATCTGTGAAACATGCCACCTAAGACATGGGTTTTAAATACGATTTTCCTTGTTGTCATTTTACTGTGTTTGTGTGATCATGGCACTAGAGGAATTTAGGAAATTTTAAATAGTTGAATTCCAACTCCATATATTTGAATGTAGTGATAAACTCTTAGTCTTTGTGTGCTATACAACGAATGTGTTTACATGATTTGCCACGATATCAGTAAACTGCATGTGGTTTACGTTTGACAATGATGGGATGATGATTTTTAGGAACAATGGATCCTTTTGTAGTTTTGGTATTGCTTTAGAGCCTGGTAACAGATCAGATTAGAAGGATTTCCCTTGTAAAATGTAGATATCTCCAGACATGTTTAGAAAACATCACCGAATGCATATGTAAAAGTTCTAATTTTTCCAGGTCAAGGTATAGTTAGTAGTAGTTGATCACATTCAGCTAGACTTGTTCTGTAATGTTAAGGATTTTTTACAGGTTATACCAAACCAAGGCGCTGGCCCCAGTGTTACCCTGCTGTGCTTTTGTGGCTTCTCCATTGGCTACCTCCTGTTGAACAGTTGGTGCAGGCTCTGTCATTCAACGCGGCTTTGACTGTGCAGATGTTACAGCAGTTCATGTGGATCCTGAACCTTCAGAAATCGTCACTGAAACAGATTTATCATTTTGGGAGTATCTGGGTATAGTCCTGGGCACAACTAAGGCCAAAAAAGCAACTTTAGATGCAATGAACTCGGTTTCAAGCTCTCCAGTTTAGGAGTCGCCTGACTCTCCGCTTTTGTATGACAGTCTTGCATCTGATGGTAGCCGCCTTCGAGGCAGTTTAGTTTGCCTAGTTCTACTCCAGACCTCTACAACATAACATAGTGGGACAAATCATTCAGGTCTCTGGGCACACCGATTTGTTTGGCATTGAGGGCCAAGTTGACTCTGTCTTGGTGGCTTGGTTGTCAAAGTCTTGTCTCCCAATGAACATCCTGGAGCTTTGGGTGATTTTGGCTTTCTCTGCAGCATTGGATTATCCTGCGTGGAAGGTCATCGTCAACCATCAGGGAGGAACCAAAAGTCTTGCTGGGCCGGAGTTAGCCTATCCTTGGCAGAACTTCAGGGGCAGAATGCCCAATACATGGACCACCTGGACCCCAGCGTCAGCAACAAACTGGACATGTTTGTCTCTGGGCACAGAGATCCTCCATCTGAAGCAGTAGATGCTCTGATGCTCCGTGGGAACAGCACATCCTGATATATGCTCTTTTCCCCTGAAACTTCTTCCTTGTCGGCTTTACAGGATCAAGATGAAGGGCATTCTGATCCTGATTGCTCTGGACTGACCTTTTGGAGCTCCTGGTTGATGCTTCATGGGCTCTACTATATCGTCAGGATCTTCTGTCTCAAAGATCGTTCTCCCATCCTGCTTTACTGTCACTGGCTTTAATAGCATGGCTGTTTAAGTCTGGGTTCTGAGAAACAGGGACATCTTTAAATCTGTGTTTCTTCTATGATGCTAAAGACTAGGAAGGATACTTCCTGCAAGGTCTACAATCGGATGTAGAAGGCAGACTTCACTTTTTGTAAACCTTGGGGCTTTCACCTCAGGAGGGTCTCGTGTAATTCTTCCCCACCTGTTCCCCTGTGACACTTTGGGATCCGCATCTGGTTCTCTCTGCACTTCAGAAATCACCTTATTGAACCTATTAAATATATTCCCCACTACTCTTACCCACAAGGTGGTATTCCTTGTAGCCATTTCATGAGGCATGTGTCTGAACAGGCACCTTATCCTGCAAGGAATATTTTCTGGTTTTACATGAAGACAAGGTGATGATGAAGTCCAGGAGTTCCTTCTTGCCTAAGATGCATGTTGTGAGGGTCCATCTCAGTTGCTTCTTCTTTCAGAAAGAAACACAGGATCCCAGAAGGGTGCCCAATGTCTAGATCATTATCCAAGCTTAGTTCTCAAGGGTTAAGTTCCATACGTTCCTGTCAAGGCACACTTTACTAGATCTGTAAGTGCTACTTGGGCTTTTTAACATCACACAACTGTTTTTCAGATTTTTAAAGCTTCCAGCTAGTCTTCTGTTCTGGACATTTTGGCATCATCTGATGCCAGCTTTGGTTGTAAGATCCTTTTAAGCGACTCTTTAAGCTGCAGACAGTCCTCAGTTCCCGGTTTCCGTGGGACTGTGTTTGTTTGCTGTTTTGTTCACCCGTCATTTGGACTGCTTTTGGATTTCCCAAAGTTTTATAACTTCCTGTGGGGGACTGTACATTGACGCTGTCAGGAAGAATATACAGGAGCAGTCTGTAATGCTGCTCCGGGCACTGAATTCTGTTAGGTGCTCAATTTGCCACATAGTGTAACACGTTGAGTTAGCCAGTATCATACACAGGTCGAGGACATTGGTTCATCAGCTGGTGAAACCGTGTCCCTAAAGACCCCTTGGGGGTATACCCAATGGGAGGGTGAAGACTTGGATGGGCCTTAGTCCCTAACATCCATCCTTGGCTACTGGGGGAATCACACGCCTTACTGATGCAGTAAGTCAGTGCTACACTACTTTAAATGGGAGCCCAGGGTGATGTTATTGCCCTGGCCCTTTAAGGATCACATATAGAGTCCTGCCTATGTTTCTTTCATTTTAAATTGGGTGCCTTTTCTGCTTGTTTTACAGGGAGTATAAAAATCCTATTTTTTGGGGGGCCCACATGCAGCCCTCTTGCTTTGAGGCGCTGAGTAGTTTAAGATTTTTAACTGAAAGAGGGTTGAGTTCTCCAGTTGCCAAACGCTACTTTATGTAATTTTGTTGATCAATACTAAAAACATTCTTGGACCCTTTCTCTAGTACAATACCTTGTAAGTTTCAAGTTGTTACTGTAATGTTAATTACAAAAGTGCTATAATCCTTTTTCTGAAATTTAGATGGACCTGTCTTTCAAAAGATATCATTATCACCCATGAGGATTCATTGCACTTAGTTTGGCCCACTTTTTTGAGTTTGACATGCCTGTTTTAGATCAATTACTTAAACAAATCCTGTTAAGGAGAACTATGATTGCTTTCATCCTACCTGAAGCACACCAATTACATTTTACCAGGCTGCTCCTCACAAGCATGAGCACAGTCACATGACTGCTGCTTGAACACTTCTTTTTAATAACTGTACTTTTTTCTTTTAATGGTAGGGTTGCTTTTTCCAGTTTTTTTATATACAGTAGATGGTACTGAAATAACAATACCGTTGTAACTGTCCTTAATCTTTATACAGCATTTATTTATAGCACGAGTTACCATGAAATTAAAATGTATGTAAAACCAAAACTTTAAATTTTTTTGTTTTGAATAGAGATGAGAAGTCATGTTTTATTGCTGTTTGTGTCCCCAATGGGGAGACAGTCAAATAGAGTCCCACTGCACTCCTGACCGAGAAGCCCCATATATAGTGCGGGGGTGCTGAATTGGCTGCGGATGGCGCCTCCAAATACTTGCAAAACAGAATAAATGGTCACCAGCACTCCAAGTTTTCTTCAAAACAAAATCCTTTTATTCATTCTAGCAGGTCATATCACCATGCGTAGCAATGTTTCGGAACCTGTCCAGTCCCTTTATCAGGCAAACAACCTCACAGAACCGGACAGGTTCCGAAACATTGCCACGCATGGTGAAATGACCTGCTAGAATGAATAAAAGGATTTCATTATGAAGAAAACTTGGAGTGCTGGTGACCATTTATTCTGCTTTCCCACTGGGGAGATTCACCCTCTCTTTTGGTACTGGTGACCATTGTCACACAGACAGAAAGTGATGATGAATCCAAAAATTGTACTTTGTACTTAGTAGCTGAGGAAAAATCTTCCAATGGGAAAACCTGTTCTAGTCATTACTGAGAAGAGAAAGGACCTGTTCTGTTGTCTGCTCTGTATGTAGAACAGGAAGCTAATGGAAATATCTCTGGTTGGAGAAAGCAAAAACAAAAAACTGACACGGTTCACAACTATTCCCTACTCTAGCCAGAACTGTGAGGGAAAAAATAGATTGTTTAGGTAATGCCTCACATTTCATAGTTGGTTAAGTGTAGGTAATTAGGTAATCGCATGTTCAGATTGTAACATGTGTGGCCAGATTAACTTTGCATTTAGACCAATGCATTCTACAGTAAAATCAGACAATTTTGGCCATTGTGAAAGCATTTTTTTTTTATGTGAATTGGTGATAACAGAAATATTACAGTTGTCATTTCTCCAAGACTGTTGGTCTTGATCCAGGCTTCTCTACCTTTCATGATAAAGCATCCAGCTAGTGAAATTTGGATTTATGCATAACTAATCTATATCCGCAAACCTATAGCTGGTGAATCATACTGGGGTATCTCTGTGACCAAACTAATCTTGGCAGGATATATAGTAGCAAAATGGCAGGAAGATCTGGTAGCGGCAATGTGCCTCATATGTGAAATTCACAAACATTTTGTTTTATTATCTATACAGGAAGTAGATGATGAAGAATTGCATGAAACTGAAATAGGAAAGACGCTTGCTAGTAAAACTCCATCAATACCAGAAACCACACACTCAAACATTGTAGACTCTACCTCGGACACTTGGTTAGATCTCCATCCTGGTGCAACAGAGTTTCCGACCACATTTTCCACACGGACGACAGAAAATGCTGAAATGACCTCACCGGTGGATCTCAAATATGACGACTCATCTGAAGATGACAAAGTATCCTCTTCAGAAAACACATGTAATGGAGACTTATCTCGAGAAGAAATGAGAAAATTTGCAGATGCCATGATGACATTTAGCAAAGACCTCCTAAAGCAAGTTTACTTGGAATCCACGAGCCCCAATGTGGTTGTGTCACCTTTAAGCATTGCTCTGGGGCTCTTACATTTGACTTTAGGTAATGGACATGCGCATATTTAATGTTTTTTCAATAATACAATGATAAAAGTGTATGTAAATCCAAAAACTGTTTTTCAGTAGGTTTGGCTACATGTCTCACCGTATCCAATTTTCTTAACCCCTTGAAGACCGGGTTGGTAAACCCCCTTTCTGTCCAGGCTATGTTTCAGTATTCAGCGCTGCGGTACTTTGACTAACATTTATTCAGTCATACAACGCTGTACTGAAATTTAATTTTAGACCATTTTTTGGGGACAGATAGAGCTTTCTTTTGGTGGTATTTAATCGCCACTGGGTTTTTATTTTTTACTATATTAAGAAAAAAATGTACCAAAACTTTTGGGGGGAAAAACAGTTTTAAAAAAACTTACATTATGTTATGAAACATTTATTACCAACCCAATTATTGGGTAAAATATAAAAGACGGGGTCACGTCAGGGAAATAGACACCAAGCATGTCAAGCTTTAAAATTGCGTGTGCCCGCAAAACCGCATAAAACTACAATATCAAAAATTGCCCATAGGCAACATTTTAACAGCTTTTACCACTCATCAGTTTAGTGTCATCAGTGATTGTTGGCCCTAAAATTATTGTTCGCATTCCAATGTTACAGGATATATGTAACATTGCGGTGATATGTAACATTGTCGTTTTTGAGCGTTGGCGCACCGAAGAGCGTATTTACGTTTTGTGTGTTTAAGTCTGGGGACTTAAACATGTGTATATATATATAGTGCAATATAAATGGGTCTTTTTTGACATATATATATATATATATATATGATAGCACAGGCACACTGACAGGTCCTTTTTATGGAGACATCTGGGGTCTCTGAGACCCCTAATGTCACCTGGGGGCCCCCAAAGAAGCTGATGAAGCAGAGATCTGTTTTACCAGCTTCTTCTCTGGCTATAGCAGCCAGAGGAATGACCGCTGAATGCGAAAGTGATGTAATAAACACCACTTCCGCATTCAGAGATCGGAGAGGAGCTCAGCATGTAGAAGAGTGCTGATCTCCCTCCGATCTTCATGCTAAGAGCCACCGAACCAGTCCCTGGACCCCAGAGGGGACAGCGGAGCCCGGGATAGCCGGTAACGACGGAGGAGGCGGTGCTGAAAGAGGGGGGCGCACACTGCTGGGCACCATACAAGCGATCAGACGGCTATAGAGTCACCAACAGCTTGTATGTTTTACAAGTAGCAGTGTTTTCTGCGCGCACGAGCAGAAAAAAAAAAGGCGTATATTTACGGCGCCCCGCTGGAGGGAGCTTGCTGTCTGTCCGTTTATTTAGAACGGGTGGACGACAAGTAGTTAAGCAAATCATGCTTTGTGACTATTACATGAAGATCCTGTTGCAGACTGACAGCTTTTAATTGGCAGCAGCATTGTCATCCTGTCATAAACTCTCCTTCAGTTTGCAGTTTGGCTGCCTATCAATTCTGTGCATGCATTCAGAGGACCCGATGGGCAGCCCAAAAGCCAACTGAGAAAATGTGCACGAAACGCTGATGACATTGCTGCCATTTGTGAGGCTGTGTCAACCAGTGACAGGAAGTGCTGTTACTGGCACGATTTCCAGGTAAGAAGGTAAGGCTTTTACATACACTCTAAAGTGTCTCACCAGTCTGTATGGTTATACAGCCCATTTTGGTAAGTGAACATGAATGTCAAGGCAAGTAAAAGTGATTTAAAGGCACTCACCTCATAGTTCTCCTCTAAAGTGCATCTAAACCCAAGAATAAAAATAACAATATTTTGCAGCTTATCAGTTCTTATATGAGGTTTTTGGATTTGTTGTTTTTTCATGCTTTTTACCCTTATTTTTACCTGGTTATCCTACCGATAACATACTTGCTCTCCTAAGGTGACAACATTCACTTACTGTACTGTATCTATGGAGGTGCTGCCTTGCCACCCTATGCCGCTCAACTTTGATTTGCTCTACAGAACAGCTTCCCCTTAATTGCTAAGTTTACCTTCGGGACCATGTTTCATGTTACACTGCTATTCACAGTGTAACATGAAATATGGTCACATTGGCTCCCCCCACTGACCTGAATTTTGGTGTTCTTCTCCCCGCAGGCTGCTGCTGTATTTTAAATTAGGCACAGCTGAGTGTGGCTCTACTCATACAGCCTCGTCATCTATTCACAGATCCCTTGAAATGAAGAAGTTCATTTTTAGGTCTTACATGCACTTTAAATGATAAATAAAAGCTGAACCTTGTAAGCGCCCCTTACTTTTTCCTGGACAGCTTGACCTGTTAAAGGAACTGGAAAATAACAGATCTACTAGCAGAATCAGCAGGTATTAAAACTGTTACAGGAGGAACTTCTGTGTTTGTTTTCGTGACAGACTGCACCTTAGGTAATTTTTTGATTGCCCGTAGTTAACGTGCTTATATTGAAGTGCATCTACACCCACAAACAAACATTTAATATATTACAGCTTACCAGTCCTTACATGTGATGGCTGCATCAGTTTTCTTTATTTTCACCTTGGTATCCTGCAAATAATAATTTGGTCCCTACTCCACTATATCTATGGAGGGAGCCCTGGGTGTCACTAGGCTGTTCTCCTGTTTGGTCCACAAGCATGTCTACCTCCCTATCTCCCTTACATGGGGGACAGAGGAATTCGTAGTTTACAGATGATCTTATGGAAGAAAGATAACGTAGATTTGTGATTGCAGTTCCTTTCACAGGAACACTGCATTTCGGACAAGATAAACAGGTATTTTCTGTACTCGCTTAAAGTGTTCTTAGCCTGAAAGAGAAAATGAATGCAGCTACCACCATCTTGGGACTGCGGACAATATATTACATTTTTGCTTTTGGGTTTAAATATTCTTTTTTTTTAAAACCTATAACAAGAAATTCATACCTCCATTAAAAATGGCCATTGAGGACAAAACTGGCTGCTATGCAAAAGTCTTACTGAACAATGAACCAGCTATGGTTGGGCTGACAGGGAAATCTGAATATTCAGCCTATAATTTAGGCTGACTTTCCCAAGAAAACGGTAAATTTGTCTCCCTTAATTGACATTGCTAACTTGCCAACATGCATTTGCTCTAAGAGTCAGAGGTCAGAAGTCACCTGCAGTATGACCGTTGCTGTCATGTCAACCTGTTTGATGTTTGTTCCCTGTTTAGGTGCGGAGAAGGAAACGGAAAAAGAGCTGTTGCAGACACTCCATGTGGAATCCCTTCCGTGCCTTCATGAAAAGTTGCAGAAAATCTCAAAGCGGCTTGTGCAGACCGCCCTAAGTATAGCTGCTCGCATCTACGTCCAGAAAGGTGTGTAATCGCTGTTTGGACTTTACATACACGGATTTATTTTCATGCATACTAAAAGTAAATGTAGTTGCCTGGCTGTTATGCTTACCCAACTTTAATACTTTGAGTGACTAACCTTGAGCAAATACAGTAATACCTCGGTCCACGAACACTTCTGTTCGCGAACAATTTGGTTCGCGAATAGAAAGTTCTGCAAAATTTTGCTTCCGTTCGTGAACTCCACATCGGGTGATGAACACGACCATGGCCATCTTCCCCGCTCTGACACGTGGTCGTGGCTTCCTTCAGTCGATATCGCGGTCGCAGACAGACATGTGCACACTTGCTGTGAAGCTTTTTTGCACATACAGTATTATGTATTATATTGAACTTAATGGGAAATTTGACTCAGTTCGCAACCAATTTGGTTCGCGACCAGAATCATAGAATAAACTAAGTTCGTGAGCCGAGGTACCACTGTATTTAGACTGTGAGCGTGGGAACAAAATGAGAATACATATCTACAAACTCGCTTGGGTCAGTGACTTTGACTATTTAGGCAAGAAAGTGGAGCGTTACAATCAGGCAATTCAGTTTTTCAGATGGAGAGGACAGCAATGGCAGCCCCTGTTTCTCTATTGACAGGTTAAAACCTCTGTCAGCTATGTTGCTGCCCCCCAACTTTTATTTCATTTTTTTGTATCTTCCGGTCACAACCACTTTCTTACTTTCTATTTCCATACGTTCTGACCCAGTCCTTGTGCCCTTAACACTCCAATCCCAAGCGTGTGTATAAAATATTATCAATGAACGCAGTTATGTATTTTTTTTAAAATTGTGTTTTTGATTGCAACTAGTGTAAATACTTCAAGTGGACCTTTACCCCCTTTGACTAAAGATCACATCAGCATTCAGCTGATATGAACTCATCTTACATTCATTAGCTAAACAAATATATTTTTATTTTACTTACAATTTATTTTTTTCCACTTCCTGGTTTGCTTTGGCACAAATGTTGTTATCGTGCCCAAGCATTTCATCCTGGGAAGATTACATCAGCAGAGCATTGCTGGGAAACCTCATCTGTAATCTCATGAGATCTCAAGGACAGGCATTTTCTTGCCATGAGATGATGTGCATGGTCACATGTCCTAGTCATATGTGCCAGAGTTCCAGGTACAGAAAGGGAGATCTAGTAACCTGCCCTTAGTTAAAATGGCCACTGCCAGAAGACTGGGAAAGAAAAATAGGGTATGCAAAAACAAAAAGCCGGCAATTATCTAGAAGTATGTGTTTGTAGATTGTCATTACTAAACATTTCTAAAGGTGTCATTCTTGCTATTTTGAAGATGTGGGTAAAGTTCCTCTTTAAATGTGGCCTGGTATCAGCTTCTTTAAATCCAGTATACAGTAGAACTCCAACGGATCCAGGAAAGGGCGATACTAGCTAGGAACCAGTCAGGTGTGCTTCCTGCATATATGCTCACAGGGAAATGTTGATGGAAAAAGATGAAGATGGGATAGAGCAGAAGGGTTAGCTCAGCAGTCTGCTGCTGCTTTCTGTCCAATCAAAGACTGAGAGCACGGAGGTGACCAGCTTCAGCACCAGAAAGTCAAGTCACCAACCTGACTGTGCTGCCAGACAAGGCTGTGTAAATTTCAGGACTGGCTGAATATAAATACACATATTTTGAAAGTTAAATCGGCTCCCATATGTATGTATTTCAACTACATATTTATCTGTCTGCCTGGAATACAGCTTTAACTTCTGTACCAGGTTAAAATGAGGAACACCAACCCTTTTATAAAATGTAAATACAGTGCTTAGATAACATTTCCAACATTGATTTTAAAAGATTTGCCATCTATGCCAACTTCCATCCAACTTCTGTATACTGTATACGGGTGTCTATCCGTTTAGTCTTTAACTCATGAGATATATGTGATACTCATTGCGATTACAATCATTTTGTAGGTTTTCAAATTAAAAAATCTTTCCTTGAGAAGTCTGAGAAACTCTACAGATCAAAGCCGGTGAATTTGGGCCCAAGCATGAAGGAGAATGTGAAATCCATTAACAAGTGGGTCAGTGATGCAACTAAAGGCAAGATCACAAACTTTCTGACGAGTATCCCAGAAGAGGTTGTGCTAATACTTCTGAATGCTATACATTTCAAAGGTAAAACCATCTGGATGCTGTTTGTCTTACTTTCTTCATGTTTTCGTCATACATTGCTGTCTGTTTTCACTAAATTAAATGTTCAATACCTAATAGCAAAGGGTTATTAGACCTTGGTGCTGCATACAGTCCAGGGCTAGATTTCTGATCACTGTTATTGCATTATCCCTATGGATACAGAGCTTTAGGACTGTACAGTTCTATAAATCCCTTATCTAATGACAATAGGTATTTTTAGATGTGATGAAGTGTTTGTCCTCCTGCACATTGGCATATGAGAAATAAGAAAAGACAGTCTTACACCCATCTGGATATTGGTGCCTAAGGCTGATGCATATAATGCTTTTCTATAATTCCAGGTGTGACTGTACCATCTTCTTTCTCTACAGCAGCCTTTCTCAACCAGGGTGCCGTGCCTATTGGCTTCCTCCAGGGTGCCTAAAATGTTTCACCCGACATCATGGCTTCCCATGATACAGGCAGACTCCTGATGTGAAGAGGGAACTCTGATGTGAAGGGGAGCTTGTGATGTGAAGGGAGGAGGCTCTAATGTGAAGGGGGGTTCCTAAAGTAAAGTGGGACTCTGATGTGAAAGAGAAGATTCTAATGCGAAGGGGGGGGGGGCTCTGATGTGAAGGGGGAACTCCCTTTTTTTGTGTGTGTGTAGATCCCCCCCCCCCTTAAACTCTATACCAGACCCCTTACTGAGATAAGGGTTTTGGTATGGATTTCTACATTTCCTTTTTCTACATTTTAGATTTTTTTTTTTTTTTTTTAAAGGGTGCCATGCCTGAAAAGAGGTTGAGAAACACTGCCCTACAACAGCTTGACTCTATGATGAGAGATGGCTAGAGAGCTGTAAGTTGGCCACTGTGCAGATATTGTCTGGCAATTTTTGCAGCTGAAACAAGCTGCCAGGATTGGGTACATTTGTACTCGTGGAATGAGCTTTGGGGTTGGAGGTGTGCAGGAAGACCCCGGCACAGAGGCCTTCATGACCCTGTTCTTGCTTCTTCCACAAAATTGTCTACATGGGTGTGAGCATATTGTTAGCCCAAAAGCAAAAGTATTACATTTAAATAGAAATACATATTGTTTGAGGACATTTGTAGCTGTTGATGCTTCTGGGGCTGTCAATACACATAACGGCGTGCTGGTGACATTATTTTTTTTGGCAAGGCAGGGGACACAAATGTCGGGGCCTTGGGGTTCATTAAGGCCAAATCAATTTAAGTGGACAAAGCACAAATGTAGCAGAACTGTAGATTGTTTTTCAGTAAGGAATTGAGGTTTTGTAGAACTGGTCATGAATGTTGGACAAGCACTTCCAGATCCTGTTAAAAAGTTATATTTTGTGTGTGCAGGTATCTGGAAAAATAAATTTGACCCCAGCCAGACTTCCGAAGATACATTTTTCGTAAACGATGAGGAGAGTAAGTTGGTGGATATGATGCATGCAGCTTTATATCCTCTGAGTTACCATATGGTTGAAAAGTTGGATAGCCAGGTAAGTGTGTGTGTGTAAACTATGTGCGGTTTTATTGGCATGCCTTTGAATGGGCTACCTAATACACCACATTGGCTCTAAAACCACACTTTCTCCTTTTTTTGGATTGCCATGCATTGCATACCCATTGCGTTAAGAGATTTGCGATTATGCAGCTCAGTGGTGTGAATGGGCCATAACATGAGGAAGTCAAATCAGAAATTACTTTTGGGAAAGAATTCTATGTTAATACAGCAATAAGTTGGAAAAATATCACTTTTCCTTTTTTCATTTTTTATCGTTTTACTTTTCAGTGGAGGAATTAAGAGGACCTTTACCCTCTTTGACTAAAAATCACATTCCTTAGCTAAACAAATATATTTTTATTTTGCTTACAATTTCTTTTTTTCTACTTCCTGGTCTGCTTTGGCACAAATGATGTAATCGTGCCCAAGCATTGCATCCTGGGAAGGGTACATCAGCAGAGCATTGCTGGGATATCTCATCTGTAATCTCACGGGGAAGTCATTTTCCTCCCCTGGAGATGATGAGCATGGTCACATGTGCCAGAGTTCCAGGAAGTAAAAGGAGTTCTAGTAATCTACCCTTAGTTAAAATGGGCAGTGTCAGAAGAATGGGAAAAAAGCTGGCAACTATCTAGAAGTATCTGTTTGTAGATTGCCATTACTACCCATTTTTATTAAACGTTTTTTAATTTTATTTTGTTAAAAAGCAGCTGTTGTTGTTTTATGGAACTGACGAATGATCTTTTCCTTTTTTTCCCTACAAGGTGGCCAGGCTGCCTTTTAAAGGAAACATGAGTTTTGTCATAGTAATGCCTTATCAGACGGAGTGGAATGTCTCAAATATACTGGATAAGCTGAATAAAAGTGAACTTTACAGTCGTTTCCACAAGCAGAAACCAACTACACTAAAAGTTCCTAAGCTGAATCTGAACTTTAAACTTGAACTTACACGGGCCCTGTCTAATCTCGGTAAGTACACATGGCCCATTGAAGAGCAGGAGCTAGACTCCTCACTGGTGTTGTATAGTGTTTGGGGAACCGGGTGATCTGTGAGCCTGTATACACGAAAGCTGCGTGTTCTAATGGATTTCACAAAGTACTTTTGTGTTTGATGAAAACCTAATGGCTTGGAGGGAAGGTAAGAAGTTACAAAGACCCAGAACTTAAAACCTGGACCCCAAGCAGATATAAAAGGCACAAATGAATGTCGTTCTGTAATAATTGTTACATCATTAAATGTATACAGGTTTTTTTAAATGCAAGCAATGCATGTACCTACATTTGCAATGGTAATCAGTCTCTTGCTGTCTACTGTATAGTCTGTGGAGCAGGGTTCAGAGAGGGGAGGCAGAAACAGCACAAGGAGATGTGCAGCAGTGCAAGCAGCTATCTGATAGTAGGAGCTCAACAGTGTGCTGCTTCTCCTTTCACTGTCCAGTCACAGGTATGTTGAAGGGGAGGGGACCTGTAAGTAAAGCTACAGCAGAGAAAGACGAGATCCCGCTTGCCTGCTAGACGGGGCAGAGCTGTGAAAGTCTCAGGATTAGATAAACAGAAGTAAAAATCCTTTTGGTAGGTAAAATGCTTCCATATACATTGAAAATTGACAGTTAAAAGAGAGTTTGTCAGCTGAATCACCTGCTTTATTATAACACTTGGGGATTTGTGCGGTATCACACCTCTTGCTGCATTCTCCATCATTAATAAAAACTTCAACTGGAAGAAACAACCTCATAGAGCTCACAGCAGAGGGGCAAATTGGTAAAAATGAAAGCACAAACAAACTTTACACCCAAGTACTGAAATCTGTCGGGTTAATGCACCAGCATGTAGCCAAAACTCCAATATAGAATACATTTGTGTTTTAGAACGGAAAACAATCCCTAATCTGATGACCAAACTCTATATTATTAACCCTCAAATGTACCTTCTATCTACTTGTCTACTTGTTTGCATGTGGTCTGCACATATGAGTTTTAACTGGACTGAACCCCTGAATAATTTCTCAGGATACCTGAAACCAATTTTGTTTGTTTACTACTACTACTTGTACTACTAGCAAATTGTAAATCCATTCAATCACTTGGGATCTGGTGTTCATAAAGATCAGAAATATGGAAATTGTTACTTTCTTACATACTCATATGGTATGATTTATTTCTAAACCTCCACCATTAGGACAACACTTAAGTATTTCATATTAGTATATTAAGCTGCATGTATTTTTAGATCTGTCTACCTATATAGGCCTACAGTATGTGTGTAATATTAATGTATGTAGAGTGCAATTTAGATGTTCATAAATCCTATTTTAACCGCTTTCCCTTTGTAGGACTTGGCAAGCTGTTTACAGACCCAGATTTGGGGAGAATCTCAAACGAAGATTTGGTTGTGTCCAGTGTAGAACATCAAGCTACGCTGGATCTCAATGAGGATGGTGTGGAGGCTGCTGGGGCCACAGCAATTTTGACTTCTCGCTCTCTGTCAACTTTCAGTGTCAACCGGCCATTCTTTTTTTTCCTGATTGATGATAACACCGGTGTTGTCCTGTTCTGTGGATATGTTCGTGACCCTAAGCCTGACTCTCTAAAAAAGAAGAGAGAGCCTAGTCTCAACCCTGAAATAAAGTTCCTCCACAAAGGTTCTATACCAAAATAGGATGTTCTAGATCTTGGAGGGAACTCCATCATCCCATGTAGGGATGCTTGATGTGGCCACTGGTGGATTCTACATATGGAACATTTGGAAGGCGTTTATTGGTTTATGATGATAGGCAGTGCTTTTTTTTTTTAAAGAAGTTTAGAGGAGCTCCAGTTCTGTCTCAAAATATATAGAACTGTGGACAATCCTTTTTCCATGTTCCCAATTTTTTGTTTATATAAATGGTTGTTTTCATGCAGATGTTACTTACAACATTACTCAACGTATATTGATATTTAACTGTTTGTGTATCCTGCTGAAGTCCATTTTTGCTCATTAAATTTTCATCAACATTCTCCTGGGCACTTTACTCCTTTCTGGGGGCTAACCAACAAAGACATGTCTCTAGTGCCAGCAAATCATGTGATTTTAAAGCCTTCACTCCAGCCTCCAGCAGAGCGAAGAAGAGTTAAAAATTTGGGGTTTTATTTCTGCCTGTGACTGAGAAGATTTTCCCTCATTTCCTGTCTGTGTGACACCAGGACAGGGGGGAAGAGTAAGGGCAGGAAGACACAGATGGCATTAACTATCTTGTCAGAAGTTATAACTGCTCCTCGCTAGCCTTATTCAAAACGGCTAAATGGTTTTGGTAGGAGTTTTGCCTTTAGTTTTGTGACACACAGCGGACTTCCTGGAAGATGATTTAATTTGAGATCACAGATCTTGCTTTTAAATTCTGACTTAGAAACTTAAGATCTGATATACCCTTCTTGTTTTTTTCTTCTGTTTCAGTACGATTTCACATTTTACTTGCTCATTAAAACTGAATCATACCTAGTTGTTGAAATTCACATTTTACTTTTGTGGTCTGTTTTAATAATCCCACTTCATTTACATCACAGTATGATTTCCATGCAGAACGTATCTCTGCATCAGGCATTTCAATGAGCGTCTTTGTTGATATGATGCAAACAGCAATGATGTATAGTCAAACACAGCAGTAGAATTGTACAGTAGTATAGTTTAAAGAGAGCTGATCTGAAAGGTAGCTATGGGAATCTAGATACCATCTCTGCTTTTTTTTACTGTCAAAGGGAAGTTCCATCTTGTAGAAAAAAAAATAAATGCACATTTCTGCATTTTTATTAGTATGTTGCATTGAAGCTAGTAAGGTTGCAAGCTTGATCGTGGGCAGGGGTGTATCTACTGCAAGGCAAACAAGGCATTTGCCTAGGGCGGCACTTTCCAGTGGGGCACCAAAAAATGCTGCCCCCAAACCAGTTAGGTGAGAGAAAAAAAAAATTATATTATAAATTATTCATAAATTACTGCCAGTACTCCTGGACCCGGTGCTTCTTTGACGGGGGGATCAACATGTCCACCTATGCCGCCTACTCCTACATGTATGCTGCAGCTCCTTCCTCTTCCTAGTCAATGTGCTGTGCAATGTATTGGTGTGTGTGACCTTCGTCCACATGCACTGGCAGTTCGGACCTCCCTGGGAAACCGGCACCCAAATTTCTGACTACAGGCAGCAAAGGAGCTTCCGCAGGACCCCCAGGGCTGAGATCCAGATGGTCATCATGCTCATTGGCACCTCTGTGGTGGTGAGTCTGAGGAAGTGCAGCCTATAAACTCCGTAAAGGGTTATGTCTCTAGAGCTGGGCGAGCTACAGAGCCCTGCAGCCAAGGCAGAAGATTGGTGACTGCAGAATTAGAAGGCCCAGCATATTATGGCAGAAGATTGGTGTTGCAGCTGCAGAACTAGGGAGCCCATCAAGCCAGGAATAGAGAAGGTGGCTACCGCAAAGGTAGAACTAGAGCATCACGCTACGTTGATAGCGCAACCTGTCAGAATCTAGCTACACCGTGCACGCTGTATCCCACAACTGACAGGTTATGCAAAATGTCTTAAACAGGAAGGAATGGGACTAGTTTAGATTAGGGATGGGGGGGGGGTGCTCGGGTTTAGTCTTGCCTAGTGCAGCACAAAACCAAGATACACCACTGATCGTGGGTGCAGACGCTTCCTACTCTCCATGCCTGTGCCTTGGTATTTACATTCAGTGCCATGGATGGGAGGAAGAATCAATGGATTACAAGTGCAGTGAAGTTCCATGTCACTGAATGTCTGTGAGAGTAAAAAGTGCCTCCACTGCCTTAGCTGATGGAATGTGTAGCTTCCCTGGGGTGGGGGTTCTTGTGATCTGACAATGTTTCATTTGACACCCTCAACATGGGTCCGACATGAAACATGGTCAGAAAAGTTAAATTGGTCTTTAAATAAAGCCCGCTGACTTTTTAGAAAATATAAATAATTACAGGGTTGCAGTCTACATTGTCTTCTTTGTCCATCTCTGTCCCGTCATTAGGAATTTCAATAGTAAGCTCTAAGAATCAAACACTTTGCCTGGCAATCCCGCAGGCAGAGATGAGACTAAAATTACAATCAAAATGGTTTCACTGCAGTTTGTTCATTATAGGACAGAGCCATTTAACAGCTGTGGCTGCAGTTTGATCAATTTTGTTAGACCATTATCCTTTTCAAAATGTTCTGTTCAATCAAATTTTACAGGCGATAGTTAATTTAATCTTGTTCTACCTTTTTATTTTTTATTGTTGTCAAAAAAAAAAAAAAAAAAACCTAATGGCCCCTAAAGAAAAATAATCCATAATTTCAGATCGGTTAAGTCAACAACGATTCTGAGGGAGTGAAAGGGCAAAGCACACTACTTAAAAGTTCATAATTTATTACGTTAATGGTTATTTTACAAAGTAATCATTAAAATTGAAATGCCAAGAGGGGTTACCATAGATGGAAAAATAAATGATCCTGCTCTTAATAAACTAACTTCATAAACTTACAGGAAGCAATTGATGTTAATTTATGCACTAAATGTAATTATCACAAGTATAATTATGATTTTAATGGGAGTAAGGTACCTGATTGCTTGAGATCAAATAAAAATAAATACATTTGAGGGAACATGCGTATAGATTACACGTACTACCAGTTCTCTCACTAGGTGGAAACAAAAAGCAGGAGCCATTAATGTGGTCTGTAAATATCACTTACCACCATTCTTCTTGTTTAAACTCCAGTTTACTGAGGGTTCTTCCACAACTTCTAACATAGGTCTGCAAGATGGCTCCTAATGTACCATTCTTTATGGTAGTGTACATATGTTTCAGAAGAGCGCATTGGTGAGAGATAAGTTTGATACTGAAAAATGTAGAGCACAGAGATTGTGGGAGCTTGGCACGGGGAAGACAGTTTAGAGCTAAAAGACGGTAGTATGGGGCAAGTACCCCAAGCAGTCATTACAGTTACTACTACTAGAGACAGTCTAGTGTAAGGGTTACAAGCAGCCTCCGCCAGCTCCTCTCTTACATATATTGCAATCATAAGGCTACCATTTAAGTGCATCTGCTGGGAAACAGTGGTACCTGAGGATGGTTGAAATGCAGTCTGATGCCCTTTTTAATGTCTATGGGTATCCCAAGAATTCTTGGCTAGATGAACAAGATGGTAATCTGTGCAGTGTGTGAGGTAATCGCCAAAAAAATTGTCTGCAGAATGGGAATCATAATTATTTAAACAAAAATGCAGAGTTAAAACACCGAACAATATTCATATATTGACTAGACAATATCGGCTGAATGTGATGGTTTACCAGAACATGCCATTCATTTGGAATGTCCTCATGGCTGTGCTAATCTCAATGTATCTCACGAAGAAAAAAGTGAAAGCATGGTAGAACACACATTTTACACAGGTTCGGATGGTGGGAAACCAGGGATTTTACTTGGAACTTTAGGGAAGACCAGATAATGCACTTAGTGGTTTCCACTGGCAGCAAGCTTGACATTAATAATGCCAACACGTTTGTTCATCCTAGTTGTTCCTGATGGAAAATGTCTCTGACTTTTTACATTCTTAAGTCCTTTCAAACCATGCTTATTAAATCACTGCACACACTCTCAAAAATCCAGTCACACACCACTGAACATAGCTCTGCCCCCTAAGGGCTTAAAGCGTGACTGTGTGCATGAATCGCAATAAAGATTTTCTACCAGAGTCTACCAGAGTTCAGTGGTGTGTGGGCGAATTTTTGAGTGTGTGTAGTGGATTTTAGGGTGAAGGTGCGCCCACCTGGTGACCACCCATTTAATTTCCCCACTCAGCCGTGAAGGAGCGGTGTCATTACTCAATGGATCCCATGCTCATTGATTCCTGCCAACTAGGCTGTCACCACCCCACCTAAAGGGTGCTTGTGTCAGTTTTATAGCACTCCTCCTTTGTCAATGGTGCAGTTGCAAGTCAAGCCCAAAAAAGAAGACATTCAGGGAATGTCTGTCTACCTCACACCTTATCTCAGTCCAACCATATCCACTCTTGGGTACCACCCTATTGTTCCGTTGTACATGGTCATGGTGTGAGGAAGATTGAGATTCCCACGTCTTCTTTTTTGAAGGGCTTGACCTGCAACTGCACCAGTGACAAAAGAGGAGAGCTATAAAACTGTGACACAAGCACCCTTAGGTGGGGTGGTGCTAGCCTAGTTGGCAAGAATCAATGGGCATGGGATGAGCATTGAGTAATGACACCGCTTCTTCATAGCTGAGTGGGGAAACCAAATGGGTGCTCGCCAGGTGGTGCACCTTCACCCTAAAATCCACCACACACACACACAAATCCAGCCACACACCACTGAATTCTGGAAGAAAATCTTTATTGCGACTCATGCACTATCATAGTCCCACTATGTAGGAGCCTAGGCTGCTTGCTTCTGATTTGAACTACAGAACGCCTCCCCCTCTTCTCTTTTTCATAAAATAGTGGGGAAGTGTTCTGCAGCCCACAGAAGTGATATGGACAGGGCTGATCGCACTGCTTGAGATTTCAGTGCAGCAGAGGTAGAGTGCAGAAAAAGTTATAAGCTCAATAGATTACGGTCAGATCAACAGTTATTTTTCTGTACTTGTGGCATCATGTGTTGTTGAATAGCCCAGCTGAAGTGCTGGGTAAACAGATGATCTAGCACAATTCTGTGCTTGATCATCTGTATTGGAAGGCAGAAGAGACATTAGGGGTCTAGTAGACCCATGATGTATCCATAGGCAAAAGCAGTCACCCCCCCCCAATGC